CACAAACTTCAAATAAAAGTATATTTGAAGTTTGTGCTGATGATGTCGTTCAGAAGAACGATGAAAGCTCCACGACCAAACCATCCAGCTCAGAGAACAAAACTCCACCAAAATCATCCACCTGAGCTACAACTTTTCTCCACCATCTCGAAATTTTAAATTATGTAAACAATAGAACACATGGCTCTAAATCGTTTACAATGGTGCAGATGTATCTACTCTCTGTGTTCTGCCAAATTCTAATCTTCCGAATTCTTCATGTCCCTACTTTTTTCTCATTCCAACCTTATTTCACTGGATTATATTCTTTTGAATAACATCTTCAAACCCTAATCTTTCCGATTACTGCTTATACTCTTACCACCTCTACCACTATGGGATTTGAATCGACAACTGCATCTCTGCGTTAATGTGGTATGTCAACTCGAACTGATGTACGTACTTTGTTACTGACTGACTGAGAGCACATGATATACGCCGATATTATTCAGTATCATCAGGAGTAGAGGAAGAATAACATAGAAGAACAGGAAATTTGAATGATAGATATTGATTTATGGGATAACAATTATGATTTCATTAATACAAATTGAATAGAACCTTCTGTTTACTACATATAACTAGATCTATATTTTTGTTCAGTTTATGAAAAAGAGGAAATCGTTTTTCTTTCTTCATTTTAATTTATTTACTTTTATACACTATTGTCATTGATAAATGAATTGGAGAAAATTACCATTTTCTCATTATAACACTTAATATAGTGTCACTGGACTAGTGTTCACAATTGTCTTGTAAGTAATAAAGCCAATTTTAGCTTTTGTTTTAATTACTTTCGAAGGTAATCTCAATTGCTTGTTTGTTTATATGCCCTTCCATTTTCCAGTTTCTTTTTAATGTTTTATATTATGAATGTATTACTTAAATCCTTTCCATATTATTTATAGTAATGTGTATAGTTTGTAAAACCTTTCAATGTTTATAAGATTTACGGGTTTTTTGTTGATAGATGACAACGGATAAGGAGATTACTTACTTGAAAACATCTGTTTTCAGAATTATATATGCATATAGGTACATGTGTATATTCACTGAAATAATGAACTGACCAGTGTTAGACCACCATTGAAAAGCTGAATGCGTTGGATGGAAATTTCATCCTAGTATGAAACTCCACAGCAATGTGCATCCGTAACCCTACATGCGGAAATCAAACACAATACCTTCGGTCATGCACGAAAACACTTAACCTCTAGATCACTGAATCGGCTTCCATCGGGGTTAGTGTTTATCTTTAATCAATCTACGATAGTGCACAACCATTTTCCATTCTCTACAATCGGAAGTTGCCACACACCCAACACGGTTGAACTTCACTGGTCACAGCTTCTCACTATAACTTCGAGAATTATCTTGGGAAGTTAGTCATTGGTGAACACAAGATTATTATCAGTAAGAGGTTGTAGAAATTGTTGAGTTTCAACCTGCGTGCATAGTCGCGGATGTGAGGAATCCCATACAATGGCAAAACGGCCATCCAATCCTTCCGGGTTTTCCATGATTTTCTAACATTGTCCGGTCAATGATTTCAATAAAATTCAAAAATCTTCACAACTCTAAAACCAATATACATATAATTTTTGCTAAAAATATTTCCACTTAACGCTTGACTACACAATGAATATGTCTTTATGTTTACAATTCTTTTCCCACTCTACTTTTCAACAAAAAAATCCCCAGAAGTATTTATACTGGTTAGAATTATTTTTCGGTTTATTAATGAAGCAGATAAAACATTAAACTAACTAACTGACAAACAAGCAAACAAACAGTTGCCTGTACATCAATTTAGATAAAGTTTAAACAGGAAACTTAAATAAATAAAAAGAGAGGTACATTGGAATATGAACACTAACCAGTTGAAGTGTTGTCTGTTAAATATTCCATGTCATGTTATACACGATTATTTTTGTTTTACTGAACTAATGATTCTAGTAAATAGTTAATTATAAAAATGTAACATTTAAAAAAATGCAGGGAAATGAAAAGATTGTTCCTATTCTGGACTGATTCTGGTTAAGTAATCATTGAAATCATGATGAAATTCATCCGTAGTATACATCCAAGACCTTATTGTGACCGATGGGGTTTAATCATGTTGAACATAAATACAAGTTTCACTAAAAGCCATGGATAATATTTGCGTAATGTTTAGCGAAGTTAGATATATAAGCTATTGATTCCCACCAACTCGTTAATCTAAATGTTAAGTGTATGCTGATAGTCTTGGAGGTTGGAGACTCAACCTTTAGTGAGGTTGTAGATGAGTATCACTAAGGAGTTATGTATTGGGACGGAATAGCTGTTCAGTACTTTTTGAACTTGAAGTGTTGTCTAATTGAATTCTGGGCATATGATAAATAGTCGTCAATGTCAAGTTTCCTTAGTCCTTTCTTACTGATCGAATTCGATTGATCAAGCTGAAATGTGGAAACTAGTCCAGCTCATTGATAAAGTTTATAACTATGAATCTATGTGATGCAGGGTTTGAATTACAAAATGAATGTCAACCCTCTCAACACCCCAAGTTATATTCTATCATTAAGTGTCAACTGATACATAATCTATGTTTAAGCTTTTAAGCTGACTACATTCGACGCTCAAACAACTATTCACTATTATGAACTAGAGCAAAACAGAGATGTCACTCCCTCCTCCTAGTTTTCATCAGTTCTCGATCTAATAACTGTCAACAATGGGAAGAAACAGCCGTCCACTGCTTCCAGGTTTTCCATGATGGCCTAGGTTCAACTCTCAGAGACCTTATTTATTATTACTTGACAACAAATAACCTCATTTCACACTCATATATATATTGATATAGATATTAATAATGAAAGATTCAGTCACGAACCTAATGGGTCAGTAGTGGTTCGAGTTCTGAAATTGAGTCATATGCGTTCGCAATCTATATGGAGTATCAGTGGTGTCAAGATTATAGATACGCTTTTATTAGTGAACATCATCTATCAAGAAACAAATTATTGTCTAGGATATCCTATCTACTAACTTCAATGTATGAACATATTGGAAGATTCATATGTAAATGGAAGTTTAAAACTATAATACTGATTTAAGTGTTTACATTTCTCATATTTTGGAATATGAGCATACATACATCATAGCCAATCATAAAGTAAATAGACTGTTAATAGCTAACGATGTGTTAATACTTCATAACAGACAATACAGAATGATATTGACAAGATGTTGGAATGACATTATACTTTGTTATCAGTATCAAATAGCTGATAAATCTAAAGATTTTTCTTAAAACGAATTAACGTCACGTTTCTGTGTTTGCTTGTCTACATATATCGTTTTCTACTGGTTAGCTTTATTAACCTGTGAAAATGTCTAAAACAGTAAAAGAGGGAATTGTATAACCATATTCTATGTCAAATTCTAGATTTAAATAATTCAAGTAGATTCATAGAATATTCAAGACATATGTGAGTTTGTATATTCCTAGTTTATTTGGAAATCATTCTTAAATGATTGAAAGACTGTAGTTTGACTTATTACTATGTGGAAATCGATCTTATGTTGATATTGTACTAAGTAATGATTGAATTCTATCAAATAAGTTGTAACTTGATTTCTGGTCAGGGTGAATCGATATGGCCATATTTCAAGCTTTGACGTTTCGTATTTAGAGTCAAGTAATATAAAACTTTAAACACAAGTGTCTGATTATCAGTACCAGTAAGCAATGCATATTTACAATTTTCAGAGAACATATTCTTATGGTGGAATCTGAGCCCTGGAGTTAGACTGTCAAACTGAGTGACACTAACTTGAATCTCACAATGCGTTTCAGCTTGTCCAAGATGATAAGTATACCTTGCTGTCGATCATTAACTAGTGAGAAACCTAAGTCAAGTGTGATGTTCTTCCTGATAATTTCAGCCATCTAAGAAGTCTGACATCATAGTTATAATTAAAATATGACAAATATGGTATCACTTACCATTTAGTAATCAATCAAAGTACATATTTCAGTCCTATAAAAGATTTGTCTCACTTTCAATAACTTAGAGGTATTAGTTGTAGTAATAAATGACCATGTTTGGATCCAGTACAAGGGCACCCATCCTCTTAAGACGGCCAATACCTCTTGATGATAAAATTCAACTTATAGAAAATCTACATTTATGACTTTCTACCGACTCTTCCTAATCACTAAACATAAACTCTAAATGCATGCAATTTTGGCAAAGTAATAAAAAAATTTCTGTTTTCGAAAAGAGAAAGAAATAGGTGGTTCCATAACAATTCATAATCAACATTATATCTATCCACATTATAAGATTTTCAGCTTAGATAAATGCTACTGATGATTATACTTTTACAGACCAGGATGATGTGATTGGCAATTTTCCACCATAACTCTGAATGAGACCATCAATGCTTAATTCAAGTGGAACTATGCTTTCCAAAGTTCATCAGTAGACAATTAAGCTGTCCTTTCTGATGATCTTTTTTGTAGTTTTATACAAGAGACTAGTTTCATTTGGACCATTGGTGGAAACTAAGAAGCTCTGGGTGACTATTTCGTCATAGTATAGGTCTCCTCAGCAATTCATATTCATGATTCATTAGTGGGTGACCATAATCGAATCTCACTAAAACTAGAAATTTAAGCCATTTAATGTCACCTCAGCAGTCAGTAGATTAAACTTCCATCACAAGACCCGGAGAATCCAACTGTGGAACCCAATGGGGTCACAAATGCTTACTTTCACAGAGTCGCATGGTAGGACGAAATAACTATCTAATGCTTCATGGTCATCAAAGGTTGTTTAATTATAATTATACCATGATATAACATTTCAAACTTTAAAAACCCATACAACTCTTCTTTACTGAAAGATCTGTTAATCATTAATTCACTATAATATATATTAATAATTATTATAAATAGAATCTATTCTACTCACTTTGATAATTTCAACCATTTCATGCTTTTCAATAGTTCCATTACCATTAATATCATACATTTGAAATGCCCATTCAAGTTTCTCTTCTGGTTTACCACCTGATGTAATATTAATTGCTAATAGAAATTCTTTAAAATCAATTTTTCCAGAATTATCTTTATCGAATGTTCGAAATACATGTGTACAAAATTCTTCAGCATCACCATCAGGGAAAAATCCAGAATAGACTTCAATAAATTTCTTTTTACTTAATTGACCAGAAGGACAATCTCTCTACAAATAATAATAATAATAATAATAATAATAATAATAATAACAATAATAATAATAATAATATAAGTATGTGCTATTTATATCGACATAAGTAGTATATAACGTTAGTTAGGAATAGAATATCTAACAGCAGAAGTTTGAAAAGATCGTGAAGAGAAGAATGGGAACAGAAAGCAATTGGTATGGAAATGCAGGAGCAATGAAGTATGAAACAATTAATGAACATTTTGCAAATGAAGTATTGGTGTATAACTTTTCTATTTTATGAAGTCACTCTGTAATTTTGTACTAAATATAATCTGTTGTTCTTACCTGTGCTCACCTTTACGTCAGTCAGTCAGTCAGTCAGTCAGTCAGTAACAACGTAGAACTTCGTACGTATGTGCATCAGTCCGATTTGTCATACCACATTAGCACAGAAATGCAGTTGTCCATTCAAATCTCATAGTGGTAGAAGTAGTAAAATTATAAATGAATGGTTTAATTATATCATTTATTCTGAACTCTAATTAACTTTAAACGGTTTCATTTTTCAATCATTATCAAACTAAAATAAGTGTAACATCTGATGTATAATATAATTTTGATCAATGCTTGTGTAAGTATTGAGTTCCGCATTGACTATGACTAATTAATAGAATAATAAGTACATTTCTTCTTTATCAGCATCTATTTTACGAATCATAAATTATGTACAATATAAATAGAATATAACAAGTTAAAAATGATATATTGTGGCGTGTACTACTGATGTTAATAAATATAAGTAGTATATAACATCAATAGAAAGCGAAATACCTGACAGCAGAAGGTTAAAAAGATTGAAGACAAGAGAAGAAGAACATAGAGTAATTGATGTGGAAAAGAAGGATCAGTCAAATCTGAGGCGACTGATCGATATTTACAAAAGGAATAATCAAGTTTGAGACAACTGTTTAACATTTTGCAAATTAAACTTTTACTGTATGGATCCCAGATTTTATTAAAGCGTTTTGTAAGTTTGTATTGAACTACATTCTATTGTCCTCACTTGTATTCACGTTCACTTTAATATCCTTGACCACCATAGACAACATGATACTAGATCAATTTCAAATTTTATATTACAGTAGAATTAAACTAAACACTATTCACATTAAGTTGACCGATTCTAATTCCTTTTTTTTACATAATTTAATAGTTGAATTCATAAGTCAATTAAAGTTAGACCCCCATGAAAATCTTGGAAGCTCTGAATGGCCGTTTTGTCCTATTGTAGGACTGCTCAGCTGTACGCATCCATTCATCGGTGTTAATGGCTAACTTCAACTGATCCACGAAATCGCGTCACCGCACATCCTTGATCTAGTCTTAATTGACTCATAATCTCAACTATTAAATTACTATAATATCGACAAAAACCCCTTTCTGATTAAAACCATAACAGATAAACAAACGATATATATATATATATATATATATATATATATATATATATATTTGTAGTAAAACATAGTAGTTAATGTGGATTCGAACCATACAACCGGGTACAATTTCGTCTAAGATTATATAGATACTATGTCAGTAAGGGTTGATTAACATCAAAACCTAATTTCTGGATCTTTTTAAAAACTTAACTATCAACCATATTCATCTAATATAAGTAACCTTTAAGTTTATAGTACTTAGGTTATAACAAAACAAAGTTATAGTTAAGCTAATTAAATTGTTCCTTATTAATGATAATCTCAGTATTCCTATTGTTTATGTGATGTTAATTACAATAGGTGATAAAAATTGAAAATCTGTTGGAAACCATTTTGTGCCGAAAAGCTGTTTCGTTATAGTTTGGTAGTCATCATTAGTAATTGGAACATATTAAACTAAACAACAATAAACTAAACAATTGAGTTGGTTTACATTATCATGATTGGTAATTTTGAGGTAAGTTGTGGCTTATTGTTTCATTCTTGAACAAGCGGCATCATTGATGAACACGGTGGATCTGATGCAGATGTGAAGGCGCGGATCTAGAACTCAAAGCAACTGTCAACCAACACCAAGGTCAGAATTTTCAATACGAATGTCAAGACAGTCCTACTGTATGGGGTGGAAACTTATACCACTACGAAAGCCATCATCCAGAAGATAAAATTGTTTAATAACAGTTGTCTACACAAAATTCTTGGGATCCGTTGGCCAGACACTATCAGAGACAACCTATTGTGGGAGAGAACAAATCAGATCGCAGCGGAGGAAGAAGTCAGGAAGAAGCGATGGAAGTGGATAAGACACACACTGAGGAAATCACCCAACTACACCACAAGGCAAGCCCTGACTTGGAATTCCCAAGGTCAAAGGAGGAGAGGAATACCAAGGAATAATTTATGCCGAGAAATGGAGAAGAACGTGAGAAGAATGAACAACAGTTGAATAGAAATAGAATGGAAGGCCCAGAACAGAGTGCGTTGGGGAATTCTGGTTGGTGGCCTATGCTCCGTTGGGAGTAACAGGCGTAAGTATGTAAGTATGGTTCACAGATTTTACTAAGACGTTCTGTAACTTCATGTTCAACTACATTCGGTTGTCCCCATTCATGTTCTTGTTCATTACATCAATAAGTAAGAGTATTCAGATAAATTCGAATACATAAGAGTATGATGAAGTCACTGTGTAAGTGATGTCAAATTGTTAAGCACTATAAACTTAATTTTATACATGCAATCAAATGAGTATGTTTATGTTTTTTTCTTTGCGGTAAAACATAATTTAAAAAATGGAATACAATTCCAGAATGAGACATTAGTAGTTAATGTGTGCCATGTTGCAGAGATTTGATATTGATTCTATATTCTTCACGAGTTTATATCATGGATTGATCTTCGATAGATAAGCATTGAAAATCAAAAAGAACTGAATAGCTATTTCGTTCTGTTATGGAATTTCTTATCTGTGTACATCCAAGAAAAACCCTGAGTTGAGTTTGAAAGTCCTAGGTTCAACCCCTAACATGTAGAGTTATTAATACAAATTACTGAGGAGTCACATATCATAACGAAACATTATCCATTTCCCTTTGGTTTTTAATGGCCGTTCACTGGAGATAGATCTGTGATGTTAAACTGGGAAAAATTTAACCTCTTTTATAAATGATCCTGTATTTATTTGAAATAAACATTGACTGTGTAACTAAAAATTGGTAACATTCATAGGGAAGTTTTCCAGAGTGAGTTAAACAAAGTTTCATCCACTATTGTACTATATATAGGCTTTAACTATAGTTAACGGTTTGTTTTCTTAAGCTTATTTATTGTGATTGCCTTCCTCGTTGTCCTAATTCATGACTAAATAGTCATTTTTAGTTGTGTTTTTTTAACTGGGTGAAAAATGGGATCGATATCGGCATATTTATTAATCGCTGATTGATCTAAGTTTCAAACTTCTATAAATTCTCTGGTATTATTTGTATTCCCTCTGTCCGAGATTTCAATATTTCACCAGCCAAATATGTGTGTGCAATTATATACACAGATTGATATAAGTGAAAATAAACCAGCTTTCTTCCATCTAAGGTTTATACTAATAAATAAAAATGAAAGCTTCATTATTAAGCCATCCAGCTGAAAATAATTCAGCTCTACCTGGATCATTATTCTGAGCTACAAATTTACACCAACATCCCAATGTGTTTGATGAACTGTACATATTTTACTGATCTATGATTCTCAATTTACTATTATGTTATGTGAGATAGTAACTCAGTGATGACAATGGTGGATGTGTCACTGAATTTCGTGGATCAGTCGAAGTGAGACATTGACACCGTTGGACGCCGGCCAGCTCAGTGGTTTAGTGGTTAAGTGATCGTGCGCGAGACCGATATGTCCTGGATTAGAATCCCTCGAGGCAGAGTCGTTGATGCACACTGATTAGGAGTACCACAATATGACGAAACGGCCATCCAGTGCTTTCCGGTTTTCCATGATGATCTATTTTCAACAACACTAGTGAGTTAATTATTACAATTAAGCTGAAGTTCTGTTGTAATGAATATTGTATACAAACTAAACCAATCTCTATAAAATCCTTTTAAATAAACTGTTCACAAGACTGATCATAAGTAGTATGTATGCCTCAAAGCCGGCATAATCATCAAACGGAGAGAAAACTTTCTGAATCTAAAAAAACTCAGCATAAGCAGAACACTTACGAACCAGAAGAGAAGACATTTCGCATTTCAGAAAACACCTTAAGATGCAAATGAATAACCGAAGATACTATATAGACACTGTAGTTTTTCATGGTAGAGATTGAGTCCTTCTACACTGTATTGTTCTATAACATGCTTAAATCATGAAAGCCTCCTCTTCTCTATTACTTAAATCTTAGTGTATTATGTAAGGCTTAAGTAAATTGATAATTATAATGCTGTTGAGTAGTATGGATTATAATTCGAAATCATAAATCCTATGGAAAAGTAACTATTCTATTGAAACTCCGCCAGAAGTCCCTCCGGGGGCTGCTGCCGGTTCCAAGCTCGGATAAAGGTGAAGGGTTGAGCATGGGGTTAGCGACCCCATCCCGTAGAAAACTAACTCGCTGAAAGAACGCTAACCAAAAATAACTATTATTTTAAAAATAGAAATTAGTTATAACACAAAGAAAGAGCACTCAAGACTTATCATTGTCTCTTTGCTTAAAAAGCTTGTGACTTAAGGCTATATTAAGACAATCTGCTCAGGATGCACATATGCCAACATGAGACTGATCAATTACAGTCCTAAATAACAATAGTAAGATAAAAGTAAAACAACACCAAAGACAATCGAATTACATTTAACTCAACACTACAGAGTTACTTGGTAAAATAGAAAAATCACACTATAATACTTAATATGCAAAATCTTCAATAATTGTCTTGAACTCGGCGCCCAAATATTGTGAAACTATTCGTTCAAATTTAGACGAAAGTTCTTATTTGTCTTGAACTTCGTTGTTCTTGCATTTCCATACTAATTCCT